CTTTACCTGTAAGCAAATGATACCATATCGGACCATTCAAGATGCACAGAGGTTAAGGCCATGAATTATCTATGTGACCAAATATTGGGCAATGCATAATTGCAAAGTATATGTTTGAGCTTCTTCACAGTTAGTTTTACCAAATTACAAACTTCAGGTTTCTTCTGTCTGTCTTCAGTGGATTATAATAATTCATGTAAGTCGTGCCAAATTCAATTATTCGAGCAGATCTTAACATTTACCTCATGTGTCACACCAAACAGGTCCAGAATTTTGGCAGCATCCTTCATAACAGGAAGATCCGTGTCTGAACCCATGATGATAGCAACACGAGGTGTCTCTGCCATGTGTAAATAACAAGCAACACAAATTCAGTCGGATACTTTTAAGATTCATGAAGGGTTCAACAATCATTAAAACGAAGAGTGCACTGTTCACAAAAAGGTTATACAACAGATTTTGGTGAGATAAGTTTGAAGGCATTCAGAAACTAAAAGCCAATAGAATATAGATACCAAACGATGCTATGGAAACTGACCGTGTACTTGGTGGCTTTGCTCACTTAATATGCATTGTAACCTTTGTTCCAAAATGCCCATAGACTGCCCAACAAGAGTGATGTGACCCATCTTTCTCTGCTTTCTCATTTCTAACAATAAGAAGTTTATCATACAGGCTTTGTGAGTAACCAAAATAGTTCACAAAAACTTGCAACATACCACAAGAAAGCTATAAGAGAACAAAAATCTAACCTGGCTTGTCATACCAATGAACAGATGCACCTGGAATACACAGAGCCCTTGCAATAAGCCGATGAGCCAATTTGAAACCTGCTTCTCCCTGATTTAAAAATAAATAAAACCAGAAGTCCACTACATGTTCATTAAACGGATAAAAAGATGATGCAACAGGTATTAAATTCAAATGATAAAGTAAAGACAAACATCAATTACATCATCTTCTCCCAGAATATTGTACATAATGGACGCCGGAGTTCTCATTGACGGATCACCAAGTGGAAGACCAACCACAGCTCGCAAGTGTTGTTCAAACTGTGAAGTATAACAGCACTCGATCGTTTGATGGCCACTGTTGTGTGGTCTAGGTGCAACTTCGTTTAGCAGAATCTGGGAGGAACTAACTCTGATAAGTTAAAAATAAAAATAAAAAAGGTAAAGTGCCTAAAATTTATGAGAAAATACCTGACTATCCTCTGTCAAGAACAGTTCAACTGCAAAAACACCAGCACCTTCTAAAGAACCGACAGCCTTTTGGGCAACATCGGTGGCAAGT